AGGAAGGGGATGGGGACACGGGAACAGGGGATGGGGACACGGGAACGGGATGGGGACACGGGAACAGGGGATGGGGACACGGGAACAGGGGATGGGGACACGGGAAGGGGATGGGGACACGGGAAGGGGATGGGGACACGGGAACCCCTGGGCAGGCACAGCTGCTCCCTGCCCTGCCGGGGATGCGGCACTCACAGGAATTGGCTGTTTGATAAAAACCAGCACAGCTTTGGTGCTAAAAGTGCTCAGAAACTCGCCAGTCTGTGCAGAGCATTGTATTGATCATCAGCAGGTGTTGCTGTACTCCTCAGGGGTTGATTTTCCTCAGTTCTCATCTGTAAAACCCCAATTACCTGTTTATATTCTCAGCTTTGTGATTGTTCTTTAGCTTCTCTTTAATTTATTTCTGACTGCCTGAACAGAATCACTTTCAACTTCTTTTTAAAATTACTGCAAACCCTGTAAAATTAACATTGAAATTTGTCATTCCTGCTGCTAAAATCCCCTCAATTTGCAGTTTTCCAGAGGACAGAGATCAATCCCTGAGTCTCCTGCCCAGGCACGTGGAACAGGCAGGTAGAGAGGCACTGTCAGATCCCAACATGTTTGAAATCTTTCCCTTTGGCAAAAATTTGGGCTGCTATTTTTGGATTAGACGTTTTTAATCTACATTGTTGGTGGATTAGAAGTTGTTTGTGATTTTCTGTGTCTCCTTTGTCGGGATGGCTTTGGGCTCTGCCGAGAGGCAGCGGGAGCACTGGGAAAACGCAGCTGGAGCAGCTCTGTGGGGGCACTTGGGGAGCTCAGAACGACCCAGGAGTGCCCAGGTGGCCAAGAGGCCACTGGCCCTGGGCTGTGCCAGCTCTGGGGTGGCAGCAGGGCCAGGGCAGTGCCCGTCCCCTGTGCTGGCACTGCTGGAGCACCTCCAGTGCTGGGGGCAGCTCTGGGCCCCTCCTGACACGAGAGCCCTGGAGGGGCTGGAGCGTGTCCAGGGCAGGGAACGGAGCTGGGAAGGGGCTGGAGCCCCAGGAGAGGCTGAGGGAGCTGGGAAAGGGGCTCAGCCTGGAGAAAAGGAGGCTCTGGGGGCACCTTGTGGCTCTGCACAAGTCCCTGCCAGGAGGGGACAGCCAGGAGGGCTCGGGCTCTGCTCCCAGGGCACAGGGACAGGACAAGGGGAAATGGCCTCAGGCTGGGCCAGGGCAGGCTCAGCTTGGCCAGCAGCAGGAATTTCTGCCTGGAAAGGGAGCTCAGGCCTTGGCAGGGGCTGCCCAGGGAGCTGCTGCAGTCTCATCCCTGGAGGTGTGCAGGGAATTCCTGGATGTGGCACTCAGAGCTCTGGGCTGGGGACAAGGTGGGGATCAGGAACAGCTGGGACTCCATGGGCTGGGAGGGATTTTCCAGCCTCGGGGATCCTGGGGTTCTGGGGTTGTCCAGGGAAGCAGAGATGTTTCTCAGTCCCAGAACTGTCTGATTTCCACAGCTGAACAGAGCAGGGCAGAATCTGCAGCATTTCCATCTTTCCAGGGGGGCTTTCCTGGAGGTTTCCCCCACGATTTGCACTGGGATGAGGTGATGAGATCCAGACCAGTACCAGAGCTGTATTCCCATTTACAGGGAATGTGCTGCTGGCTCAGCATGCCCAGGGATGTGTTTGCCCTTGGTGCTCTCATTGCAGGAGTGCTGGGTGCTATTTTTAAACAATCCCTGATTTTTCCTCCCAAATGCTCTGTCAGGAAGCAGTGAGTTCCAGGAGGAGCTGCAGGCAGGTGTTTGTGCTGGGAATGGCACAGAGGGGAGCGCTCAGTGCCCTTCTGGTGCTGCTCCCCTCACTCCAGCTGCAATCCAGCATCCCTGGGGAATATTCCAACTCCAGCACGGTGGGGACAGGGCTGGAAGCAGAACTTCTGCAGGATGGGCTGAAGGAACAGGTGGGGGCTGCAGGGCTTTGGCCACCCTCTGCCCTCCAGGGGCACCACGAACACCCTTCCCTCCTCAAGTTAATTCCATGTGCAGAATTAATTGGTTTGCACAGCCTGGAAATTCAGGTTACCCCCATTTTCGGGGAGGATTTTGTTCCTGGCTCAGAAAAGAAACTGAGGCAGTCCCAGCAGCCCAGAGCTGCTCTGTGCTGGACCTTAAACAGCCTCTCTTCATTGAGCAGGAGCAATAACAGACAGGCAATCCCCCTTTGTGCTGGAGCTTTTTGGGGGATTTTGCTGTGGGGTCTCAGAGGTGGCTCCCTGGATCCCAGCCCTTGTGCACAGCAGAGAGGAGGGGAGAGGTCAGGAATTCCTGGTTGCCCTGTCAGTGTCAGGAGGTTTTCCCTGGAATGCAGCTCCTGGCACTGCTCCCCAGGCCAGGGTCCCTTCCAGGCACAGCTCCTGCAGTTCCAGGGACGTTTCCCCTGTGGCACAGCCAGAAAGCCACATCCCTTGTCCCAGGGGAAGTCCAGCTGCTCCAGCAGCAGCAAATTCCCTTGGGGTGAATTTGTGGCACTTTGAAACGCCTGAATTCCAGAGCAGGGGCTGTTGCTGCTGTTCCCAGGTCTGGCTGCAGGCTCTGGGCACTCCCAGCCGTGCTCTGGGTCCCTGTCCCTGGCTGGCACAGCTGGCACAGCTGGATCTGTGTGCTCTGTCCCTGCTGCTGGATCCTCTCCTCCCTCAGCTGGGAGAGCTCCTGAACCCCAGACTGGGCTGGGAGGGACCCCAGAGCCCCCCCAGTGGCACCCCTGCCACCAGTGGCACCCCTGCCATGGCAGGGACACCTCCCACTGTCCCAGTGCCCAGCCTGGCCTTGGGCACTGCCAGGGATCCAGGGGCAGCCCCAGCTGCTCTGGGCACCCTTCCCTGGGCCCTGCCCCACAGCAGCTCCAGCCCCACTCACTTTTCCCAAGTCCAGGTTCTGGAATTTGTTCACTTTTTGGGAAGGATTTGTTCCAGCCCTGCTTCCCCCCTTTCTGGTGTGAATTTTATTGCTCATTTTCAGCTCTTGCACCTCTCAGAAGGTTTTTCCTGTCCTGTCCTGGGCTCCTCCCGTTGGTGTTGATCCTTATCCTGGAGCTCAGGGCAGGCAGAGGCAGCGGGAGATGTTCCTTAGACTGGGATAACAAACAAAAAAAAGGCTTTGTTCTGTAATATTCCCCACACAAAAGGAGCTGTGCCTTCGTTTCCACCTGCTGCATGAGGTGTGTGAGTGCTGGGAGGACAAGGGCTGATCCAGCAAAAGCCAGGGAATGTTCCTGGAGGAGAGCAGGGATTTGTTCAGGAGGGGAGCAGGGCAGGGAGGAATCGGTGCAGGTCCCAAAGCTGCTGGGACCGAGCACATCCAGTGCCCAGGGAACTGCTGAGCTCTGCAGGGATTGCATTTGGGTTTGGGGCAGGAATTGTTCCCTGGCAGGGTGGGCAGGCCCTGGCACAGGGTGCCCAGAGCAGCTGGGGCTGCCCCTGGATCCCTGGCAGTGCCCAAGGCCAGGCTGGGCACTGGGACAGTGGGAGGTGTCCCTGCCATGGCAGGGGTGGCACTGGAGGGGCTCTGGGGTCCCTCACACCCAAATCTTTCCATGATTCCATGATTTTGTGGTTCTGGGGCACTTCAGCCCTCCTGGAGGAGTTTCCAGAGACAGGAGGATCCTGGCTGGGCTCCTGCTCTGGCTGAGCTGCCCCAGGATTCCATCACCCGCAATTCCCAACTGTGGGAAGCACCCTGTGAAATATCACCCTGTGAAATATCACCTGTGAAATCACCCTGTGAAATATCACCTGTGAAATATCACCCTGTGAAATATCACCCTGTGAAATATCACCTGTGAAATATCACCTGTGAAATCACCCTGTGAAATCACCCTGTGAAATACACCCTGTGAAATCACCCTGTGAAATATCACCCTGTGAAATATCACCTGTGAAATATCACCCTGTGAAATATCACCCTGTGAAATCACCCTGTGAAATATCACCCTGTGAAATATCACCTGTGAAATCACCCTGTGAAATATCACCCTGTGAAATCACCCTGTGAAATATCACCCTGTGAAATATCACCTGTGAAATATCACCCTGTGAAATATCACCTGTGAAATATCACCTGTGAAATATCACCCTGTGAAATATCACCTGTGAAATATCACCCTGTGAAATATCACCCTGTGAAATATCACCTGTGAAATATCACCCTGTGAAATATCACCCTGTGAAATATCAGCCTGGGAAATCACCCTGTGAAATCACCCTGTGAAATATCACCTGTGAAATATCACCTGTGAAATATCACCCTGTGAAATATCACCCTGTGAAATATCACCTGTGAAATATCACCTGTGAAATATCACCCTGTGAAATCACCCTGTGAAATCACCCTGTGAAATATCACCCTGTGAAATATCACCTGTGAAATATCACCTGTGAAATATCACCCTGTGAAATCACCCTGTGAAATATCACCCTGTGAAATCTCACCTGTGAAATCTCACCTGTGAAATCACCCTGTGAAATATCACCTGTGAAATATCAACCTGTGAAATCACCCTGTGAAATATCACCTGTGAAATATCACTCTGTGAAATATCACCTGTGAAATATCACCTGTGAAATATCACCCTGTGAAATCACCCTGTGAAATATCACCTGTGAAATATCACCCTGTGAAATATCACCCTGTGAAATCACCCTGTGAAATCACCCTGTGAAATATCACCTGTGAAATATCACCTGTGAAATATCACCCTGTGAAATCACCCTGTGAAATATCACCTGTGAAATATCACCCTGTGAAATATCACCTGTGAAATATCACCTGTGAAATATCACCCTGTGAAATATCACCTTGTGAAATATCACCTGTGAAATCACCCTGTGAAATATCACCTGTGAAATATCACCTGTGAAATCACCCTGTGAAATATCACCTGTGAAATATCACCCTGTGAAATATCACCCTGTGAAATATCACCTGTGAAATCACCCTGTGAAATCACCCTGTGAAATATCACCTGTGAAATATCACCTGTGAAATATCACCCTGTGAAATATCACCTGTGAAATATCACCCTGTGAAATCACCCTGTGAAATCACCCTGTGAAATATCACCCTGTGAAATCACCCTGTGAAATCACCCTTCACATGGCAGCTCTCTGCTCCCTGTTCTTCTGCTGGTCACTCTCCTGCTGGTCACTCTCCTGCTGGTCACTCTCCTGCTGCCCATTCCCCTGCTGACCATTCCCTGCTGACCATTCCCTGCTGACCATTCCCTGCTGACCATTCCCTGCTGGTCACTCTCCTGCTGGTCATTCCCTGCTGACCATTCCCTGCTGACCATTCCCTGCTGACCATTCCCTGCTGACCATTCCCTGCTGGTCACTCTCCTGCTGGTCATTCCCTGCTGACCATTCCCTGCTGACCATTCCCTGCTGCCCATTCTCTGCTGGCCATTCCCTGCTGACCATTCCCTGCTGACCATTCCCTGCTGGTCACTCTCCTGCTGGTCATTCCCTGCTGACCATTCCCTGCTGACCATTCCCCTGCTGACCATTCCCTGCTGACCATTCCCTGCTGGTCACTCTCCTGCTGCCCATTCCCTGCTGGTCATTCCCTGCTGGTCATTCCCTGCTGACCATTCCCTGCTGGTCACTCTCCTGCTGCCCATTCCCTGCTGTCCTGCTCATCCCAGCAAACCCAGGTGTTTCCAGAAGATATTCCCCAAAAATGGATCAATGGCCTCAGGAAATGCCCAGGCCTGGGGGGGCTGGGACAGTCAGAACGTGCAGCTGCAGAATTGCCTCAGCTGTGTGAAAAACGAGGTTCACATCATTTTTATAGAATTTAAAAGTTTAATAAAAAAACAATTAGGAGAAAAAAATAAAGTAAAGTATACAAATTTGGCCAAGTGTCTCTGCACTAAGAAAGGATTGTCCCTTAAAAACAGAACCCTACTAAATATCCATAAATTCTCACACATATTCACACATTCTTCTTAGGATCTTTGGTGTTCTTCTGTTTAGTTTTCTCTTGCCCCCTTCCCAATAGATCAATCTTCTTGGTGCCATTGAGATTTACATTCCCTGATACCAGAAATGCAATAAATTCCTCCCCCAGAGTTCTGGGCACTGCTGGCTTCATCTGGATAAGAGAGTTTACAGATGCAGGAGTTCTCCAGCTGTTTTTTGTTTCTCAGTCTTTGGGTTACACAAACAAAAGCAGTTTTTATTTTAATATTATGCCATAACCTAACATATATGTATTATACCACTATTTCTAAGTTTCATCAGTAACAGAAATAAAACTATATTAATACAACAAAATTTCCCATTCTTATACACATAACATTCATTTTAATATTTGCAAAAAGCCAACAATATAAAATTAATATTATTTAATATTAATTAATATTAAATAATTATTAAATATTAATAATAGTACATAATTATGACTTAAAATAATATTAAATAATTATTAATTATCAGTGATATTTTATAATATTATAATATTATATTAATAATATTATAATATTATTAATATAAAAGCTGGAAAAGTCCTCCAAGGTCCAGTCAAACCTTTGATCTTCATCTTGGACTCCTTTAACCAGATGTTCCAGGGGTTTTCCCAGTGCCTTTATCCCTGCTGGGAAGGACTGAGCTGGAGAAGCGGGGACACTGGGGGCTCAGGGCCAGGAGCAGCTGTGGAAATGTCCAATAAAAGCAAACAGGGAATTGCATCCATTGTCTCACAAATACTGAGGAGCTGTTTCTGTGTCCAGGGAAATCATGGATCTCTCCTGGAGGAACATCCCAGCCTAATGGGACAGGAAGATCCATTTGGTGGAGGCAGGCTGGGTTTGGAGGAGCATGGGACGTGCAGTGTAACTGTTCCAGGGCAAACCTGCCCTGAGTCAGGATGGGAAGTGGTTTTTCCCTGAAATCCTGGCTGGAGAAGGCGCAGGAGTTGCTGCAGGGCAGAGATGCTCTGAGATCCGGGGTGTGTGACATCCAGGGGCTGTTCCCTGCTGTGCTGGTGTGTCTGTGCATGCCTGGGCTCTGAAGGTGTGGGGAGAGCTGAGCTGGGCTCTGCAGGAAGGAGGAGCAGGATCCCTGTGGCTGCACCAGGAATATCAGGAGATAAAGGCTGGGAGTGCTCAGGCCCTCCCCAGGAGTCCTGGAAGCAGCTCCTGCTGCTGCTCCTTCCTGGCACTGCCAGGGGACACAGGGATGGGCTTTTCCCGAGTGCTGGGCAGATTCCTTTGGATTTTCTGTTCCCTGACAGGATCCCTCTCAATAATGGATTGTTTCCATTGGTTTTCCTGTTCCCTGACAGGATCCCTGTGTGTGCTGGGCAGTTTCCTTTCCCTTTTCTGTTCCCTGACAGGATCCCTCTCAATAATGGATTGTTCCCATTGGTTTTTGTGTTCCCTGACAGGATCCCTGTCACTTTTTGGTTGTTCCCATTGTTTTTCTGCCCCCTGACAGGGTGTCTGTCACTTTTTGGTTGTTCCCATTGTTTTTCTGCCCCCTGACAGGATCCCTGTCACTTTTGGGTTGTTCCCATTGTTTTTCTGCCCCCTGACAGGGTCTCTGTCACTTTTGGGCTGTTCCCATTGTTTTTCTGCCCCCTGACAGGATCCCTGTCACTTTTGGGTTGTTCCCATTGTTTTTCTGCCCCCTGACAGGATCCCTGTCACTTTTGGGTTGTTCCCATTGTTTTTCTGCCCCCTGACAGGGTGTCTGTCACTTTTGGGTTGTTCCCATTGTTTTTCTGCCCCCTGACAGGGTGTCTGTCACTTTTGGACTGTTCCCATTGTTTTTCTGCCCCCTGACAGGGTGTCTGTCTCTTGCAGCCCCCCCAGGCCCGTGAGTAACATGAACGAGGCCATGGTGACCCACGTCTCCTCCGGAGCGCCCACGCCAACCAAAAGGTAGGGGAGCCTCAGGCTGGGGTTATTCCTGGGAAGGGATGGAATTCCTGCTGCTCCAGCTCTCCTGAGGGAGGATCCTGTGCAGGAGTTGCTGTGTTCTCTCCAAAGAGTGCTTTCTGCTGACTGAGCTGATGGCACATGGCTGTGGGGGAGGAAATGCCTGGATGGATTTTGGCTTTCCTCGAACTGGGATTGACTCCCCGAGCTGGGAGAGGTTGGCTCTGTGTCCCAGGCTGTCCTGCTGTGTCACCTCTCACGGTGGCCCTGCCCTGCCTGGGCTGGGACTGAGCTGGGATTGCATTTTGTGTGGATCAGGTGTGTGAGTGAGCAGGAAAAGCCCTGAATGCTGAATTCCACTTTCCTCTCCTAAGGAACAGATCCAAGGGGAGCAGCTTGGCAGAGCTGGGGAGGAGTAAATAAACATTCCTGCAGGGAATGGGGAGCTGAGCTGGCCCTTCCAGTGCCCAGGGGTGCTCAGAGCCCACATTTCCAGCAGCTCCAGGCAGAACTGAGATTCCTGGGTTTTTCTTCTGCTCTCCTTGATAAAACGAGTCCCATCTGGGGCTCCAAAGATCCTGCACTGAAATTCTCCCCAGGCTGCCTGTAAATCCTTCCATGGGGTTTCTGCCCTGGCTCTGGGCGTCCCTGGGGACTCTTGGGGTGCTCCTGGACACGGAGCCTGAGCTTCCCCGTGGGAGGTGGGAACAGCCAGCCCTGGGAGCTCCCTGCCAGCCCGGCTGTGCTGGGATCCAGCAGGAATTCCTGCCTGGAAAGGGAGCTCAGGCCTTGGCAGGGGCTGCCCAGGGAGCTGCTGCAGTCTCATCCCTGGAGGTGTGCAGGGAATTCCTGGATGTGGCACTCAGAGCTCTGGGCTGGGGACAAGGTGGGGATCAGGCACAGCTGGGGCTCCATGGGCTGGGAGGCATTTTCCAGCTTTTCCAGCCTCAGGGATTCAGGGATCCTGGGATTCAGGGATCCTGGGATTCAGGGATCCTGGGACTCAGGGACTCAGGGATTCAGGGACTCAGGGATTCAGCAAGTCAGGGATTCTGGGATTCAGGGATTCATGTATTCAGGGGTTCAGGGACTCAGGGATTCATGGATTCAGGGATTCTGGGATTCAGGGATTCATGGACTCAGGGACTCTGGGACTCAGGGATCCTGGGATTCAGGGATTCAAGGATTCAGGGATTCAGGGATTCTGGGATTCATGTATTCAGGGATTCAGGGACTCAGGGATCCTGGGATTCAGGGATCCTGGGATTCAGGGACTCAGGGATTCTGGGATTCATGTATTCAAGGATTCAGGGATTCATGGATTCAGGGATCCTGGGATTCAGGGACTCAGGGATTCAGGGATTCAGGGAATCAGGGATTCATGTATTCTGGGATTCAGGGATTCATGTATTCAGGGATTCAGGGACTCAGGGATCCTGGGATTCAGGGATTCTGGGATTCAGGGATTCTGGCTGCTGAGGGTGCCCTGGATCCCTGGCTGTGCCATTCCCAGGCTCAGGGACTCCCTCTGGCCCTCCATGTCCCCCAGGCGGGTGGGAGCAGCCCTGGGGAGCCGGCAGTGCCAGGGAATTGCAGTCCCTGACTCCTGCCCAGCCTGCAGGAGGCTCCAGGGGTGTCTCAGCACATCCCCACCCGCTTTTTGGGGTGGAATTTCCCGGGTTTGGGATCATCCATCACTGCACTGGCTCTGTCCCCGGCATCCCCCTCCCTTGCAGCCTGGGGCAGGACAGAGCTGAGGGAGGGGACACACTCCTTGCCGTGTGTCCCCGTGTCCCACAGCCCGGCCTGAGCACGGAGCTGGCCCCAGGATTTACTGCAGCTCCTCCTGCCCCTGCTGCAGGGGCTCAGCACTGACTGAAATGAAAGGGTTTGGCACATCCTGGCACCTGCAATTGCAGCTGGAGGGGGCTGGGAGCTGCATTTCTGTGTCTGGAGCTGCTCCCAGCAGCCACTTGCCCTGGATTCTGCTGGAAAGGGAGCTTGGGTGCACGGCTGGGATGCAGCTGCTGCTCCGTGAGCGATGGAGCCACACGCACAGAGAGGGATGCTCACCTGGAGGAGCGAGCTGCAGCCATCCCTGAGCCCCCTCAGCCCTGAGAAACACTGACAGGGCATCAGAAAAGCTCAGCAGAGACTCCCAGAAACCTCCTGGATCTCTCTGGTTCACGCTGGGAGCCGGAGCTCACGTCCTGCCGAAAGCCTTCCCATCCCGAGGGCATCCTGAACTGTCTGTGGCTCCATCAGAGCTCCTCCAGCTCCCAGCAGGACACCAGGAAATCCAGGAGGATTTCCCCAAAATGTGGAGCAAATGTGCATCAGTTTGTTTGAAGGGAGTTTTGGAATTAGGAGTAAAAGGGCACCTTGGGAATTCCTTGGGACGGAGAACTGCTCCTGCAATCTGCTGGGAAGTGGAGGAGGGTCCCTGGAGAGGGATCCAGGAGAGCTCAGAGCCCCTTGCAGGGCCCAAAGGGGCTCCAGGAGAGCTGGAGAGGGACTGGGGACAAGGGCTGCAGGGCCAGGAGCCAGGGAATGGCTGCCAGTGGCAGAGGGCAGGGCTGGATGGGATTTGGGGCAGGAATTGTTCCCTGGCAGGGTGGGCAGGCCCTGGCACAGGGTGCCCAGAGCAGCTGGGGCTGCCCCTGGATCCCTGGCAGTGCCCAAGGCCAGGCTGGGCACTGGGACAGTGGGAGGTGTCCCTGCCATGGCAGGGGTGACACTGGAGGGGCTCTGGGGTCCCTCCCAGCCCAGTCTGTGACCCCATGGACCATCCCACGGTGCTCCCAGGGAGCTCTGTGCTCTCTGTGGGCCCCATGAATGTGTGGGATCGATCCCATCCCAGCCATGTCCCTGCTCCAGGCCAGGGCCCTGCCAGGGTGACAGAGCACAGGGACCCCCGTGTCCCCTCTGGGCCAGCCCTGCAGGGCCCCCTCCCCTCCCTGGCCGGGGCAGGGTCTGCACCCACAGCTCCTGCTCAGCCCCAAGCCACAAAAGCTGTCCCCAGGGGCTGCCTGTGGCACAACAAAGGCTGCATTCCTTTCCCTGCTTTCCCAGGAGCCTGGAGAGCTCAGGCCGTGCCTGGGGGCTGCAGCCCCAGATGGGGGGATGTGATGGCACCTGCCTGGACACCTCTCCACAGCCCCCTGCCTGCAGAGATTCCCCTGCCACTCACCCTGCCTGGGGTTATTTGCACTCCCTGATGCTCTGCTGCTCTTTATCTGCTTTGTCCTGCAGCCCTGGGGGTCTGCAGGCCTTTGCAGCAGCACCCCCAGAACCTGGCTCCCCCCTCTCAGTGTCACTGAGGCTGTCCCTTGGGTTGATTTGTGTCCCCCAGAGTGGTTTTGGTTTGCTTGGCAGCTCAGTTGTGCTTGTGGCAGGTTCCAGTGAGCCTTCCCTGCCTTCCCTCGTCCACACTGACCTCCCCCGAGGGGGCTGCACTCCTGGCACTGCCTTTTTCCATGGACACAGGTGGGGAAAATCCCTTTTACTCAGCTTCCTCAGCCTCTGGGACCCCTGGAGATCCCAGGTCCTGTTTAGCCATCCTTTCAGCTCCAGGGTTTTGGGGCAGAGGGTTTGGGTGCAGGGGTGTAGGCAGCTTTGTGCCATCAGCCATCCTGCATCCCACAGGGGCCAGGACAGCCCTTCCTAACAGCAAAACGGGCTTTATTGTCAGAAAAGGGACACAAATCCCTCTTTGTGGAGACAGGAGAGGTCCCAGGTGACAGAGGGACAGGCCAGGACAGGGGAGGGTGGCAGGGGAGCGTCCCAGTACCTCCAACAGGGATCGGGGGAAATGTGGGGAGAAAGAGCAGAAACGCTGGGGTGGGGATGAGGCTGAGCTCAGACTGTGCTGGGGACAGCCCTGGGGCTGGGGACAGAGCCAGAGCCACAGGCAGGTCACTGGGGACAGGGTCACTGTGCTGGGGACAGCCCTGGGGCTGGGGACAGAGCCAGAGCCACGGGCAGGTCACTGGGGACAGGGTCACTGTGTGGGGACAGGGTCACTGTGATGGGGACAGGGTCACTGTGTGGGGACAGTCACTGTGATGGGGACAGGGTCACTGTGTGGGGACAGTCACTGCTCATCCCGAGGGTGCTCTGGGGACACCCTTGACCCTCCCTGCTCTCTCTGCCCCTGCCCAGCTCCTGCCCCTCTCCTGTGGCTCCCCTTTTCCCTTTTCCCTTTTCCCTTTTCCCTTTTCCCTTTTCCCTTTTCCCATTTCCCATTTCCCCTTTCCCCTTTCCCCTTTCCCCTTTCCCCTTNGGGATGAGGAACAGGCTCAGGGGTACTCACACGATGTGGGCGAGGTCCAGGGGCTTCTCAGGCTGCTCTGGGAACAGCGGCCGGGGCGGGTCCCTGCTGGGCACGCAGCCCAGGGATTTGCTGATGGCGTGGCTCAGCTTCTTGGCCGGGGATTTCTGGAGAGGGGAACAAGGACAGGAGGCAGGTGAGGCTGGGGAAGGGCAGGGTGCAGCCAGAGAGAGCTGGGAAATACAACAGCGAGGTGGAAAAGGGCAGAACATGCAGAAATCCCTGGTCCTGTTACAGCATTCCTGGGAAATCAGCGCAGACACCGCACCGGGAACAAGTTCTGGGAGGCTTTTAAGTGATCTGATACTGACAATTGAAAGTTTTAATAAAATTATGTAAGATTAGGAAATAAACCAATTACCTGGGGGTTCTGTCAGGAATTAAGCCCGGGGCAAATCCCCTCCCATTAAGGGATTTTTACACTCACTCTCTGAACACATCTTGAGGGCAGGAACAGTCACATCCCCATTTTCTGTCCTTTCCAGGCAAAGCCAAGGTGCTGGGACAGGCAGGAGTGACTTTATCCCCTTCCACTTGTGCCCTCACTTGTGCTAAATCAGTGATCAGTGATGCTGGAGCCTTGGGAATGCTGCTGGCAAGCGCTGCCACACCCACAGGAATGGGGACCTGCCCCAAGTCGTGACCAGAAAATGGGGTTTAAACCCATATTGACTTCCAAAATTAAGTCTGGAAATGATGCTGCACCCACCGAGTTCCCATGGGAGCCCGTGGTCTTTTCCATTCCATGATTCCATGGCCAGGGGAGCTCAGCTCCTTTGACCTGGCAGCTCCTTGTGCTGCTCTGCCTCACTGACATCCCAGCAAAGTGTAACCCTGGCTAATGACTCCTGGGGAATTCCCTGCTGCTCCTGCACACCATTCCAAACTGGAGCTGCACCAGTTCTCAAGGGACGCTCAAACTAAAATTCAGGTTAACGCTGGTTCAAACAGGAGCCCTGGACAGGAGTTACAGCCAATTACCAGGCAATTACTGCCAATTAGCACCACTGACTACCAGTGCAATCAATTCCTGCTGATGTCCAACCTGCCCCTGCCCTGGAGGTGCAGCCTCACTACCATCAGGTGCTGCAATTTTTATTCATCAGCAACAGCTCCATCCTGGAAAGCAGCAGGATTGTGGGAAGGCCCTGGAGGACACCTCATCCAGCAGCCTCTGGATCCCAGAGAATGGGCACCTGGTCCTCCCAGTGTCACCAAATCCTGAAATGGTTTGTGTTGGAAGGAGCCTTAAAGCTCATTCCAACCCCCCTTAAATTGCTTTGAAATCCTATGAAAATCACAATTTTACTCTGTACCACTTACTGACCCCACAGAGAATTTAAATCATGCACACGGAAGTGACTATTCCAAACTCAAAGTTTCCCTAAATTCTTTACATGCTGAAAATGTCCACGTTTATTTCTCTCTGAATTTGTTCATTCCCACAGATCTGAGGGACCCAGCAGGACCTGCAGGCCCAGGAGCCAGGGAATGGCTGCCAGTGGCAGAGGGCAGGGCTGGATGGGATTTGGGGCAGGAATTGTTCCCTGGCAGGGTGGGCAGGCCCTGGCACAGGGTGCCCAGAGCAGCTGGGGCTGCCCCTGGATCCCTGGCAGTGCCCAAGGCCAGGCTGGGCACTGGGACAGTGGGAGGTGTCCCTGCCATGGCAGGGGTGACACTGGAGGGGCTCTGGGGTCCCTCCCAGCCCAGTCTGGCATGCCACAATTAAACACTAATTAG